GTTTAATTTGAGCCTCCAATTAAAATTTTCAATGAAAGTCTATTGAGTCCCGTTTAACTCGAACTCATTTAATATAATATTTCTCTCAAATGTTTTATCTTTGAATTTTGCAATTTTTCGTCACTTTTACATTCTTTTCTGCAATTCTTTATTAAACATAAAGTTTTACCTACAAAATACAATATAACATAAATTAGGTAGAATTTTATCCAAAAGACAATAAAATATCATAATTTAGGGTCTCAAATAAGCGTAGAAACTACACTTATCATATATCTTATTGTCCGTGTTTAGGATTGTACAGAGATGTTATCTTCTCCTTAATAATGTCCGGTCCTATCTAATTATTCTTACCAAACACGCCATCAATGTGTGTGCAAACGATAAACGTTAAATTGCAGCACATCTTGGTAAGCATGCAACCAGGGCAAGACAAAATCTCCTACTTTCCCAGCAGTTTAAGCCCCGAATGTAGGCATATCTCTAACACAAAGGCAAAAAGAAGCTGAAGGATTGCTTCCAAAGAACTAAAACATTTTGGAAAATAAGATACGCAGTCTCCAACAAGCATAATTAGAGAACTCTTATGGCATCATGTGTACGATATGTAAGCGCCGTGTTAAAAACCAAAAGAACACACTATTCATTCAGAAGTCCCAATTCACGGAGCTAATTCACAACCTTCCCCCAACCACAAGTCTTAGTATCAATTCTACAATTTTCTCAGAAGCAATCAAATGATTTACAGAATTAAACACATATAAATGAACTTTTGAGAACGAAGAATCAACACAATTCACACTAAAAAATGCAACTCCACATAAATATAGAACATGAGAAGCAATGGTGAGTGCCAAAGATGAAGCATACAGATACCTGGAGAATCGTTGTAAAGGAAATAATCACACACACATTGTCATCAAACTCAAAGATTTTTTTGAATTCTAAATAAGCTGAAAATCACAAAAGCTGCTAATACTATACTTTCATGTATCATAACAAGTTAATAACAAAGATTAAAGAAAAATAGATAGAACAATCAGAAACTACAGTCTACTACTAAGCCTTCAGCTTCTCAGTTATCCCATGTTTGTTAGAATTACCATTCATTTGGTTCTTCTTTGCAGCAAATGAACGCTGCTCAGTCGGAGCCACCTTTACTACTCACTGCAGTTTAGGCCTTCTGCATCCACGTCCTGTTTCCCACTTAAGCCTCTCAAAGAAGAAACAATCAGAAACTACTGTCTACTACTAAGCCTTCAGCTTCTCAGTAATCCCATATTTGTTAGTATTTTCATTCATTTGGTTCTTTTTTGCAGCAAATGAACACTGCTCAGTCGAGCCACCTTTACTCCTCACTGCAGTTTGGACCTTCTGCCTCCTCGTCCTGTTTTCCAGCCTTAAACCTCTCAAAGTAAAGCAAGAAGGTCCAGATTGACAACACCTTCTTCACCTCCACAGACAATATGATCAGAACAAATGTCCACAGAGAATAAATTGCATCCAAACCCATGGAGCACTCTAAGGAGGTTCTATATTTTTATGTCGAATTGCCTGCCTTTAAAAGAATTTTCAATTGAAGAATGCCTACTGTCTTCAACATTTTTCTCCCATCAATAAGTTAAATCTTTGTGTCACTGGAAGCTGAAACCAGCCACGGAAACTCAAATTACGAGAATAAACGGGTCCCTTGTAAGGAATCCATTTTGCAATCTTCCGTGCATTGCACTTGACATTTCTGGTTATCTCGAACCTGTGTATGGAATGGAACCGATCTCCTCCTCCAATAAACAAGAGCTTCCGAGATGAATTACCAGCATGAGCATTGCAAACAACCGTAAGCTGACTACTGTTAGTAGAGTACAAATTGTAAACATCAGAACCTGCCTGCTCACTGCAATTGGATCACGAGGAGCAACGCTCCTAATAAAAATTATGTAGCGAACCAATACCACTTGATTAATAAATAAAGGAACGAGAATAATATGACAATATGAAAATCAAACAATAACACAAGATTTACGTGGAAAAAGATCTACAGGCAGAAGAGGAGAATTTATTAATATCAATAATGGAGGATTGCAAGTTATTGTGTAGAATGTAATGATTAATTTTTCTAAAGGTTTACTCGTCATATATATAATGCAAAGAAGAGTCTAAGATGTTGTGGAGTTCAATTATAACAAGTCTATACAATAATTGGGTATTTGGAATAAAATATAATTTAAAAATATGCTAAAATCGAGAACTGTTCAAAATCCAGATAAGATCGTTGCTCGAGCGGCGGTCTTGCGGTTGTTGAGCGATGGCAGGAGCCTTGAGCGTCCTCCTCGCAGATAGCTAGTGCTGAAGCTCATGTTCTGATTTCTCGAGAGAGATCAAGGCGCTTAGCCACTAGCGAGCACGAGTTCGTCGTTTCCTTCACCTTGCATGATTTCTTCCTCTCCTATTGGAACTTGGACTCCATCAAGTCCAACACAAATCACCAACTCTCAAATTGAATTCCAACTTGAATTCCCAAATATACTTCAACAAGAATTCCCAACTAGACTTCAAATAGAATTTTCAAATAGACTTCCAAATAGAATTCAAGTCATACCCTAATTTTAACAAACTCCACGACACGAATTCCACTGCAATGAACAAAACTTCAAAAATTCTCCACTTGGATGCAAATTCCACTACAAGGAATAAAACTTAACTCTTCAACAACAAATTCTCCTCCAAAAATTCTCCACATCTTTCACAAAACCCAACAAGGACAAACTCAATAATTTAAAATCAACTGAATTCAAGCACTACTTAGCAGAATTATCTTGTCACCAAAGTTGCTTGAATTATCCACACGAGCAACAATGTCACAAATAACTTAATAATAACTACCAAAAAGGGCAGAAACATACATGTAACAAAATCAACATAACTAACTACTTCTTTATAAAGTTCTTTGCCAGACTTAATACCTTTGACTGCATTTAAAGCATAAACAACTAAATCAACCTCCCCATACCTTTTCGGTGGCCTTGTATCTCTCATGGGTTTTTAGCAATTGAATATAGTGGAACCGCTAGTGGTGGCGGCAAAGCGGCATTACCTATGACTTCGAAACTCGACTAAGATGTATTCTTTAAGTTAGACCTTAAACCAAACAACGATACTGAACTAAACTCAAAATCTACCCAAGTGTCTAATTTCTATCGATTGATATCAAAAGATTCTGTAGAACCCTGCAAGAAATATAACTGGAACCTTCTATGTCCCTTCATCACAATAAGGGCACATTTATTAACTTTTAGGACTCCATATTCACCAATGTATTTGTACCCTTTTGAATCAAGAATACTGAAGTAGGTAAGATTTTTCTTCAAATCTGGAACATGTCTTACAACATCAAGTGTCCCAACAATCTCATCAAAGATCTTAATTCTGACCCTTACAATACTAGCTATCTTACAAGTTATATTATTTTCCATTATTACAACACTTTTAAAAATTGTTTCATATGTTGAAAACAAATTTCGATTTGGACACATGAAAAGTGCAAGTTGTATCAAGAATCAAATCCTCATCAGGTTTGGAGTTGCCTTCAGAAATAGCCAAAAGTTCTCCGTCATTGTAGTAATCTTCTGCAGTACTAGCCTTACCAAAAGTTTCTA